TGAGAAGAGGGAGCTGTTTGTGGGTGAGCCTGTGTAAGCCCATGTGATCAGGGAATCCACAGAAAATCTCCCTGCAAATGCAAAAGCCAGCTAAGCCTTGCATTGCCTCAGTGATATGCAAATGAGCACCCTAAATATCCTGCTCTGCTTTCTAATGCCTTTAGCCAGCACAAACACAACAGGCTTTTTATAATCTGTAATCAAGTTCTGCAGCCCAGGCACAAGCACTTGTTTCAAGAAGCCAAGACAACTGCTGGATGTGCTCCCACCCTGCCACTGGCCCCTTCCAGCTACAACCAGTGCTCTTCCAGAAGAACCTGTGCCTCCTTCCATCAGGAGCAGTGCAGGCCTGCAGCACACACAGTGCTCACTCAGGAGCTCCTCATTCTAGGCATCCTTGCTGCCTGAGTGATTTGGAAGTGGAAAGCCAAGCTGAGCAGGCTGCAGGCTTCACACACTTCTATTCTCAGCCTAATCCATGAGCTATATTGATCCTGCCCTTTCTGCCAACCAGGAGAGGTTGCATTACACTGCTAATCCCATCCTGCCCAGGCCACAGGCACAGCAGGCTCTGGAAAGCTTCACCTGCTGGTGTCACAGGACTCCTCAATGGCAGCCCTGCTCTCACCCCGCTTGGCAGGGAGCAGCCTGACTCTCTGAACCGTTTTCCATCTCTCCCTGGACTGTACATTCCTTCCCTGCTTCATTTCATCTCACATTGCCATGCAGAGCAAGCTTTGCTGTCAGCACATGGAAATCCTGGTTGGATCACTGACACAGAGGGCTCTCACAGTGCCCTTATTTTTGGGGAGCTGGATGCCACCACTTCACCTGATCTGACCGAGGAGGACCCAGCAGGTCAGAGCCATCCACACTGAAATCACTTGCCATGGTTTTGAGTCCTTATTGCTGAACTTTGGGGAACAAAAGGGTGCAATTGCTGCGTGAATTCTATTTTTCAGGGAAAGAAAAATGAGGAAAGGGAGAGCACATTTGGTTAACAGAGCAGCCCAAGCTTCAGAGAGTGGTGCCAGGCCTCTTTTCCCATCACTGTGAGTAGGAATTGGTGTGGCATTGCCAGAGTCCATGAAAGCCATCCAGGAAAGGAAAGATCATTGTCCTGTGTTTAAAAAGCAAACAGGTGCCATTGGGAATGCTGACAGCAGCACTGTACTGATTCTTCCCTCTGAAACTACCCCAGCAGCAGCCCAGAGGATCTCTGCAGAGGAAGGGGAAGAATGGTTCTCCCACTCACAGCACCTCACAGGTTTCCTTCCAAGTTTGCAATTTGCAAGCAAGAAATGTCTCCGAGTGGAATTAAAGGAGTGTCAGGGCCCTTCTGTGAGCGATTGCAGCACTTGTGCCTGCAGAGCATCCCCTGGGAGAGCAGCTGGACCGAGGGCAGCCGAGCAGCTCTGCCTGTCGCTCGTCCCGGGGGCTGGGAGCGGGGCAGGGGCTCAGGAAGTGTCGGGGCCGTGCCGGTCCCAAGCCCCGGCATTCCCGCACATCCCGGGGCGCTCATCGCCCAGCGCCGCTCCGTGACCCCGCGGAGGCACCGGGGACACGGCAGCGGCACGGCGGGGACAGGAGGTGCCGAAGGCAGCGCCCCGAAGGGATGCGGTCCCGCTGTCCCGCTCCCGTTCCCGGCCGGCGGACGCCGCCACCTCCCGGCGGCTCCCGAGCAGCGCCCGCCGCTCCCAGCGCGGATCTTCCGCCGCTCCCCCGCTCCGCACCGCCTGCAAGAGCCCGGGGTTGCCCTTGAGGGCTCGGCCCCTGCCCCTTGCTGCCCACAGCAGGAGGAAATCACTGCGGTGATGCTCTGTGTGACCTGCTGGGAGTCAGCTCCCAGTGTCCCCTCCGTGGAAGGGGAGCGTGGCCCTGGAGCGCTCTGTGGTGCTGAAATGAAGAGTTAGCCAGTTAACTTTGGAGAGTGGGAGAGGCTGTTGAAAAGTTGGAACAACACCCTTGGAGAAAAGAAAAGAAAGAAAGGAATTGAAAGATCCTGGTGATGTGCCAGAGGGAGTCCATCAGAGCTTTGTTCTGTCTCTTCTGTGTAATTTCACTGTTTCAGGGCTCACTGAAGGAAATCTCATTGCAAATTGAATTGCATCTCTGCCCACCTGTGTAAACTGTGACTTTGGCCTCTTCTGTCAAACTTTAATACAATGTGGGAAGTGTGGAACATAATCACAGCAGGTGCCAAGCCAAGGAAATCCCAAAGCAGCTCCCTTGAGAGCTACAGGCTCTTAACGGGACCATCAGTAGCTCTGAACTCATCAGTGAAGACAATTTAGCCATGGTAAAAAAAAAAATAGCAATTAACTTTTGAGTTCAAAGGGATCTTTGAAACAAAAAACTCCCTTCAACATCAGCAGAATCTTGAAACATGTTGCCTTCATCTGCTTCATCACAAGCATCTGAACAATGAACTCAGGATCTCTGTTAAAGTGTTACTGCCTGCCTGAGTTAATATTTTATTCCTGAGGCTTGTAAATATTTATTCTGTAGCTAAGAATTGGAGTAGAAAGATGAAATTTCATTTTGGTAGCTGAACCAGAAACTACTGTTTTAAAATTCCATTTTATGATACAGTGTCAGCATTCAGACAATCATTTGCATCTATTTTTTTGAGCCTAATTATGCAGGAAGAATTTTAAAACACACAGTTTTTGGGATTTTCAAAGCTAGCTTTGCTTTCCACAGGCTATTACAGAACAAGAACCAGTGCAAAGGGTCACATACACAATAAGAGCCAATGCAAGTGGTCATAGATGTGCACTGGGCACAAAGAAATCCTGGGGGGAGCATCAGAAGTCGTTCCCCTTTACACAAAAAAGATTCCCAAGGCCAGCAGCACAGGGAAGCTGCAAAGAGCTGCTGAGCCTGGAGAAAAGGGCACCTTACAGGAATGCTGCTGGTTTGAAATATTTATCTTTTTTCTCTGTGTAGGGTGCCGTGTGCTCGTGCTGGAGTCAGTAAATCTCTGCAGGAAATACATTTCCTTCCTGGATGTCCTCATTTCCTGCCTCCTGCCCAGGGATGCACTCTTCATCCTCACAGAGGAGGAGACTGAACAAGCCAAGGTGAGATGAGTGACACCTGCCTGACCTGTTGGAGTGGCTCGTCCTCTTTGTGAGCACTTTAGTCACAAGTGTCACATTCCCAGGGGATGCCAGAAGCAGTGTCATCCGTGGGTTAGAAATGTCACTGAGGAATGTCTGCTGTGATTTTAGAAACATGGACAAGCCAGGTTACCTCATGTCCTGTGTGACAGGACAAGGCTGAGCAGATTTGCAACTCAGACAGTCACTGGGCACTGAGTTTTACACTCCCCAGGATGTAGGATGCATTTCAAAGGAAACTGGATCCAACACAGTATTCTGAACATGTGAGTGGCCTGTGAAAGCCTGGCATCACTGCATGCCATGAACAGCATCCTTGATCACAGCTCTCACTAAAGATGGAGACAGCCTGTGAACTTGTGGTCCAAAGCTCTTCACAAGTTCCCTTTACTGTACATTTTTAAACTGTTTTGCTGCATAGGATCTCACACATTTACTCCACAGTTCCTTACATCAGAATCTGATTAGCAGATGAAAATATTTACCCAGCAAACAGTGCTGTTAATTCACAAATTACAGACTTTTCTTGCTTCTGAGGCTGTTAAAAGGTAAGAGTTACTTATGGAAACAGCTTGGATGAAAGTGGTGTTCATTATTCCCATGTATTTTTGTTCCTGAAATCTGACCTTTCTAGGCTGGTGCACTATAAATAGACTCAGTTGCAGCTGCCAGTGTGTGGTCAGGAGCAGAGATGTTCCCAGACACACTTATCAGGCTCCTGCTTCCAAGCATGTGAACACTTCCCCGGGCCTGAGAGCAGGTGGGGAGGAGGAGTTAGAAGTGACACATCAAGTGTCCTTTCCAGCAGGACCCTCTGAGCATCAGGCAGCACAACAGCAGGCTCGGGACAGACAGGCCCAGAGCTTGGGCAGCCTGCCCTGCCTCTCCCTGCTCACTGTCCTACAAATGGGCACTGACTCCCAGAGCAGGAGCAGGAAACTGCCCCCACACCAGCTCTGGAAGGTTCCTGAGTTGCTCTCTGCCCTGTTTCTCTCCTAGAGAGCCATGAGGTGCCATCGCAGCCAGCTCCTCTGGTTCCGCCAGCTCTACCTGCTCTTCTCTCGCTACCTGGTGCTCAATTCCCTGCGCCTGCTCTGACAGGACACCACTCCCAGGAGCAAAGAATGAGCAAAGCCACCACTGCCCCAGGCCCAGGACTCAAGAAAGCTCCTGTGTTAGGATGGGGTGCTCTTTGTGTGGCATTCTCCACACTACAAAACCCAGGCTGGGTGAACCTCCTTCTGAGTATCTTGTTGCCTGATACATTGAGAACAGGGTTAACAGCTACTCTGTATTCTCATCATAGAAGCTTAAATAAGATGAGAAATTTGGATTAACTTTAATTGGGAGCCAAGCTCTGGAGGATTCTGCATTGGAGAAGATATGGCAGAAATTGTTTCCCCAAGAAGATAGAGCTGCAAGGACTGCTTGGCAACTCTCCCTTGGTGCTTTTGTAAAATCCAGCTATCAGGAGTAACTTTTCAAAGGTCATGCTATCTCCACAGATACCACAACCACAACACCTTTGTTATTCAGTCAGTACTTTAAAAAGCCAAAGCTTTTGAATAAAACATCAGAAATTATGCAATTTTTTCCTAATTGCACTTTGCTGTTGCTTCTTTTATACATATTGTGTTGCAGGCTCCACCTTCACTTTCACCTCCTGAAATATGAGCTTTTCTTCTTGATTCAGAACAGGGCTCAAGGTCAACTCACAGGAGTCTCAGCAGGACACAGAAACGAGGTGCAAGTGATTCTAATGAAGGTTTTTGTATTGTCATTTAAACTTTAGCACAGCTAAAGGCAAAGTGCCAAACCAGCAACCCTGCAGTGGTGTACAGAGCAGAGGCAGTGTGAAAACTGAATGTCACAAAGGAATGAGATAATCAGCGTAGAAAGATTTATTTAAGAAACAGAGAACAGGTAACAGTAATGTAGAGACTGATTTCACCAACCATCACCCAGGAAACCTCGACTGCACTTCCACGGCAGTGCTCCCAAGGCTGCTGAAGGGTGTGTCAGGGTTTTGACATGTCTCTGATGGTCTTGTGTTCCCTCACTGCTTTCTCCCACTCCTTGCCATTGATATCCTCTGTGATAATGGTCTGCACAGTGCCATCATCCAGACAGTGGGGAGCAATTCCTGAAGAAAAACAGAGCACACAGAAACCTACTTTTCATAAAATGTGGAAGATGCGTGCTTCATTCCATGGCTGGGGCATCTCAGGGAATTGTAAATGCTATTGCTGTAAGGCTGAGGAGCCTGGATGAGAATCCTGTCACAGGAAGAAGCCCACACATTTATAGGTAAGATTGTTTTTTATGGAAGAGCTACAGGTTCAGACTGCAGTTCCTTTAGGAACAAACTCTTAGGACACATGCTGCTCATTGCTGTCATGTCAGCATCCAGTGGAATCTTTATCCAAGGTTTACTTGGTGGTTAACTCTGGTTAGCACAGCTTGCTTTGTACCTACCATAACCATCAGGGTTAGAACGAGGAGTATAAAAGCTCTGAACACCACAGGTCTTGCAGAACGTGTGCTGGGCACGGTGTGTGTTGAAGGTGTACGTTGTCAAATTGTCAGCACCCTGAGGAAAGGAAAAGCACTGGAAGTTTCCATGGAAATAGATGGATTCATTACTTTGGAAAGATACAATGGAGAAATGTACAATTTAAAATGCCACCTTCCTGTCTTAACTTGAGATACAGAGCTGTGCATTCCTGCTCCTTTCCTGAAGCCCTGTGCTCTGTATGGACACGTGTCCATAACAGTCAGGCCTGGGAACTGCAAGAGCTCTAAACAAGATGCACTTACACAACCACACCAGACAGCTTAAAATGCAGCCATTTCCCCCAAACAGCCAAACTTAGAGCAGAAAACTGCTTGTTCTTGGCTCTGTGAGGGTAACTCTGCTCGTGCTCATGTGTGTGTTCTCACTGTACCTTCAGCAGCTTGAAACGCGACGCTGGCACAATGAAGTGTCGGTTCTGTTTCTTGGTGCAAATGCTGCAACTGTAAAAGAAAAAACAGACCTTTCTAGAAGTGGACGGGTTGTAAAGCAGCAATCTGGCCTCTTGACAACAGAAATTTCACTGATAGCTAGAATGGCTCAGAGGTAAGTGGCAAAAGTGGATTTGTGGTGTCAGTAGTGTTTGTCCAGCACACCCATGAACAGACTGACCCTACACAGGTACCCCAATCAGATCTTCTCACACACAACTCTTGAGGATAAACTCTAGCCCTGAGAAATCCACTCAATGCTTCAGAGCATGCTTGGACAATTTTGCCAACATTCATTACCTTGCAAACAAGAAAGTAAAGTTCAGAAGTTCACCCATGATCTGGAACAAATGAGTTGCAGGCAAAGAGGGGTCACTACTGAAACCAGAGAGTGTTTTAGTGTGAGGCACATGTGGTCAGAGCTGTAATGTTGCTTGAGAAGAACAAGTTAAAAAAAGACCAATGTGCTTTGAGCCCCTGGATGAGAGGAAACAGAAAGCAGATGGGTGAGCACCTGGACTCATTAGATCTCTCCTGACACTTTCTGTGTGAGCCTGGCTGAGACATGAAGTCCTGCCCAAAGCAGCACCTGCAATCACCAACACTGATCTCATAGTGGATCAGGACATAATTAGGGGTAAATCCTGTGGAAACAGCTCAGATGGTGTTCTGCAGCTGTCCCATCTTTAGCTCTAAGGCTGGAAAAGCAGAGAGCTGCCATTCATCTCTGGGAACAGGGAACACACCAACTCACTTGCAGTTGAACACGTGCAGATCTGCTGAAGCCCAGACCTCAAAGCGGACGGCTCCACAGTGACAGCCTCCTGTGTGCTTCACCAAACCCCTGTATTCACTGCAGAGAGACACAACAGAGCTTCTGGGATCCTCCTCTCGTGGTTTTTGCCCCAGGGAACAGTAAGGTTATACATGACATTATTCAGTTCTCTCTTGAGCTGTTGCAGAACACTAAGAAATATATCCACTCACATATATTTAATAACGTGTCAGAAAATTGAGGTGGAGGATGGTTTCTGTCCTCTGCAGCAAGTGCTTTTGTGGTTTAATTAAAATAGTGACAAGGAAAGAAGAGCAGCACTTTGAGGACTGTGTAAAACACAGCTCCCCACCACACTCCAGGTCACAGTGCTGACCCTACAGCTGTGTCCATACACAACCCTACACAGAAACCAGGGCTATCACCTCAAAACAAACTGCTTGGAACTGAGAACTAAATTTCCCCACAATTTTCCCCACAGTTCCTCCAACACCACTAATATTCCTCCATTTAAGAGCCGGAGAAAGCAGAGATTTGTGGATTCTCTATAATATTTGAAATGTCTTTTATTTTGGGTTGCAATTGCAAAGGAACTTTATGGCCAAGGAATTTCTGAGCCTGTGCTTCTCTCCCTCCCCGAGCCGCCTCCGCAGCAGCTGGGCAGTCGCTGTGCGGGTCAATCCCTAAATGCAAAGGAAAAAAACACATTTTCCTTCCAGATTTTGCCTCCCACGGACAGCTCTGATGTGCCGTGCTCTGCACGGAGCGAGCACAGGAAATGGGTGGAGATTGAGCAGCCGAGCCTGGCGGAGCCCCCAGGGACATTTTCTTTGGGAGAGCCTTAAAACACGGGCAGCTTTAGCACAGAAATCCACTTCTTTTCCACGCTGCGTGCGCCCCCTCCCCATCCCAGCCCCGGCGCCCCTTCTCGGCAGCTCTCGGGACCCGCCGTGCAGGGAGCGCTGCCGTGAGCGGGGCTGCGGCGGGAGCGCGGAGCCCCGGTCCCGTTACTCACTACGCGTCCAGCAGCAGCCGCGCCGCCTCCTCGCAGCTCAGCCGGTGCCGTTCCTGGAAGGCGGCCCAGCGCCCGCTCTGCGCCCCCAGATCGATGAGGCCGGGCCCGGGGAGCTCCGCCTTGACTCCGGCCGGGCTTCCCCCCGCATTCCTGCTCCGGACCCGGCGCGTCCCGCCCGCGGCCGCGCTGACGGAAGGGGGTGAGGGGACACGGGAGGGGACACGGAAGGAGAAACAGGAGGGGTGAGGGGACACGGGAGGGGACACGGCGGGACCGGGGAGGGGCTGAGGGGACACAGGAGGGGTTACGGGAGGGGCTACGGGAACACGGAGGGGATGAAGGAACACGGTGGAAACGTGGGGGGCCGGGACACAGCGGCACCGGGAGGGGCTGGGGTACAACGGGGGGAACGCGCAGTAAAGAAATCTTTTCCTCATATCCACCCTAAAGCTCCCCTGGCCCTCACGTCCTCTCATCCTTCCGTGTTACCTGGGCAAGAGAGCGATCCCAGCTCGCCATAGCCTCCTGTCGGGGCTGCAGAGAGATGCCAGGTCCCCCCTGAGCTCCCTTTGCTCCAGGCTGAGCCCCCCCAGCTCCCTCAGCCCCTTCCCCAGCTCCCTTCCCTTCCCTGGACGCGCTCCAGCCCCTCCATGTCCCTCGTGCTGGGCCCAAAACCGGCCGCAGGATTGGAGGTGCGGGCTGAGCAGTGCCCAGCACAGGGACAGTCACTGCCGGCCGCCCTCTGCCATTGGAACAGGCTGCCCAGGGAAGCGCTTGAGCCACCAGCCCTGCAAGTGCTGGAGAAACTGCTGGATGTGGCACTTGGGGACACTTCAGTGGTGGCCTTGGCAGCGCTGGGTTAACAGTTGCACTTGATGATCTTCAAAGATTTTTCCAGCCTGAAGGATTCTATGATTTTCTGATTCCAGGGCTGAGGCCAGGCATGCCAGTTATCCACAGGCATGAGCCCGAGGTTTCCTCTCTCATTCTGAGCATGATGCCTCACAGGTTCATGGATGGGAAGGTGCTCAGGTGCTGCTGGAATTGTGGTGTTTCACTTCTCTGCTATGAACAGCCCTCATTTAGACACAGCACAGGATGTGTTTAGGCTTTCCTGAGGTTTGAAGTCATTGAAGTCATTGTGGCAGCTTTGCAGAGAAATGGCTTCTAACAGGATTCCCACTTAGCTTTTCACTAATTGTGTTACCAAAGTCTTGAAAATAAGAGAGTACATACCTTAAAAAGAAAAAAAAAAAACCAAAAACAAAAACACCACAATCAAGCAAATAACAATAACAACCACCAAATAGGAAAATGTGAAATCACCCATTTAGTGGTAAATGTCTTACAGAAGGTTATTCTTGAACACTGAAATTCAGTGCTGTTTCTCAAGTAAAACTATCAATGCTGGGAAAAGTACAATACTTGGAAGTGTCCAAGTTACATTCAGTTGGGGGAAAAAAATAATCACTCCAAAGATGAACCTTTGTGCTCAGTGTTGCAGGACTGGAAACTCCTTTTGTTTGACATGTAATCAAGAATTTGTAGTCAACAGAACTTAATGTCTTGTCCTTTCTAAGAAGGGGAAAGACGTAAACAAGTGAGCTGAGTCTTGAGAGGCAAAGAGGCACCAAAGGATCCTGTGGCAGCCAGGAACATGGCAAAGCAGGACAGTGATGAATAAACATCCATCAGCACTCTGGCCTGGAAAAGAGCTTTAAAAACATGTGACTCTGGTGTTCAGGCTGCCTCCTGAGATGGCACATGCCAGGATTTGCTTCAGAATCCTGTGGCTCAGCACCTCTCTGGTAGGAAAGGGCACAGAGTCACAGTTTCCTGTTATCCCTTATGTGAACCTCTGCTCCGGTTACTCACCCTCATGGAAGAATACACCCTGTGTGACAAATTCACATGCTGCTCCTGATCTGAGCCACTCCCAGAGCTTTGGTCAAACCAGATTACATGTCAGTCACCTCGTATTTTGGGAGGAAAAAGTCACGGAGGTGAAACTGGGAAGGCACTGAAACTGAGCCTGTGCTGGCTGCAGCAGGGATTCATCTCCCCTCGGGCATGGCCAGCACCACTCAGGGTCTGTCCTGTCCCAAAAACACTGAGCTCAACACACTGAAAGCTAGAGGGTAATTTTTGGAGCTCATTTTAGGGGCTGGTTATGTCGATTCACACAAATAACCCACCAGCACTCAAAAAATGCAGTTCCAGGAGAAAACTGGAGTGAGTTTGTCTATGTAATATCTGCAAATCTGTCAGTCTCTGTGCCTCTCCACAATTAGTTCACTTTATTTTAAATGCAGAAGCTGTTTTGAGAAGCTAAATTCTGTTCCCCTGTGATATCTCAGAATAAAGAACAGGAGGACAAAAATGGAAGTGCAAAATGCCATAGTAAAGAAATTGTTTCTCTTTTTTCATTAGTTTCATATTTCATCTCTAAGGACTCAGAACACAAAACTGAGTCTCACATAAATAATCAATTCCAGAGCTTTACAGTAGAACTCCAGATGATGATAAATGTCACAGATATTCTGAGCTGAAAGCCCTAAATTTCAGTCAAATTTCAATCAAATGTTGTATTGCCAGTGTACCTGGGCAGCACCTTCTCAGTACCCAGAGTTACCAGCTCTCATTTCACTGCTTCCAAAGCTGATGCAATGTTTGCCATGCTTGGGGAAATGCCAACAGCTCGATGAAAAATGCATTTGCTGTTAAGCTTGAGAGGCAAAATGGAAAAGGAAGAAATATCCAGACCGATGACGGGATGCACAAGAGGAAAAGTCCAGTAAATTACAGTTGGTTCTGTGTAGGTGTCTTGTGATGCTGAAAGGCCAGCAGCAGCTGACGTGTTCAGTGTTAAAGTACAAAGGGGCTGCTCTGTGCCACCTCAGCTCTGCTTGTATAACAATGACTCAGCTCTGCAGCCCTGGCTTGCAGCCAGCCTTGAAATTCTGCCTGCGAGAGCATTTTTATCCCCAAAGCAGCTACATGCTGGTGGGTGAAAGAAAATTAGGAACTGTGGATGTTTTTTTATATCTCATAAGCAGAGAACTAGGAGTTCTGTACAGCTGACAGCACACTTTAAAAAACTGAGGTGGTTCAAAGTACGTGGTTTGTTCAGGGGGGAAAATGGCAGTGCTTGGGTTTTAGTCTCCCAAAACATTCCAGACGTTTTCCTCACCATCAAAGGACCCAAGCTGGGTCTGAAAACAAAATGTAGGAGGTGACACCCCCGGGCTGCTCAGAACGGCCTTGGCAGAGTTTGTTTTTGTTCACTGTCACAAAAATTCTGTTGAACATACTAACAATGATTAACAGCGGTTTAGGACTTATTTCTTTGGCCATTTCTTCTTCTGTCTGCCTGTTTCCCAAGGAACTTCTCTGCTGTTTTGCTGGAAAACCTCACCCCAGAAATCACAAGCTGAACGTGCTCAGAGGCAGCAGAGGAGGTGAACAAAGCAGCTCCCTCCCTGCACTGCAGCTTGGATGGCATCCAAAGCATTCCCGGGCAGGAGGCAGAGGGAGAGATGCAGACAAGGAGCTGCAGAACAGACCCAGTTATTAGCTGAAGCTGTTGCTTTCACTGGCACACCACGCAGGCACAAACCTGGGATTTCAGCCTTTACAAAATCCCCTTTGGACGGCTCCTTCCAGCACAGCTGTCACATGTCCCTGTGGTCACCCAGAGCTGCCCAAGCCTTGCAGCACAGACCTGAAAGCTGAATCCCATGTGTCCTACAAAGCTAAAATACACTTTAGACAAACAGGGAGACAGAGGAGTATCACTAATTTTCATCTTTTTACTGCCAATCTATTTGTTTTTCTTAAACTTTTTCCTCTTTCAGCTCCCGAAGTCGGCAGCTTGTTAAAAACTTTGTTTCGTGAATTTATTTTTAGCATAAAGCTATAAAAACAAAACCGAGGGAGTTGTCTTTTTTTGGTAATCTCAGAATATCACAGTCAATCTCACAGTACTTTGAATTCTGACTCACTATTTGTGTAACCCTCCAGGCTGGCAGCTTGGGGACAAGCAGTGACATGCCACGGGTCTGTTTGTCTCGTGGGTGGAACTTGAGCCAAGCCTGGACCTTCCTGCACTTCTACAGGGAGACAATATTTATCTCCACAACTGTAAATGTAATTATACTGCATCATACACAGTGAGAGGCAGGTAATGTTATGAGATAGGAATATGTAAATATATATATATATATTTATATTTTGTTTACCTGTGGCAAGCAGCCCTATTTTTGTCTGAACAAAGAACAGTAACTGGACTTGCCAAACACCCTGTGATGATCTGGCTGCCTGTCCCAAGCTAAACCTGGTAGCTAAAGATAAACAGATTGCCTCATGTAAAAGTGACACCTCGTTGCTAGGACATTAGCCTACATAAAAACCAGACCCAGCTTGTGTTCCAGAATGTACAGATTCCTTGGAAACATTTCCCTGACCCCAGATCCTTCTCTCCTGAAAGTAGGTTGCTCTGTACCACTGCCCAGTGACCCACTTTTGAAAAGAAATGTGTGTTCCCAACTGCAGGCCCCGTGCCCTGGCAAAGGCTGTGGCCACCTGTGGTCAGAGCAGTCACAAGATACAGATTTCTGGGGTTTTCAGCTTTGCATTTATTTATATACAGTTCAGAGTCAGCTGCTCGATGGTTTTTATTCACCAAGAGCTACTAGAGGCAGAGTAGAATGTTTGTTAAATGCATTGCTTTGTGCAGCCACACCGTAGATTTAGCCATATTTAGGAAAAAGAAAAACAAGAGAGGGCTCCTGTGCTTTCTGGTTTACACAGAAAGGAAAGAAAAATTACAGAAATTCCTCCTTCTCCATCTAGAGCAACGTTAAAAAGACAAATATGCACCCTAAAATCCTTAATAAATATGTGATGTGCTTTAACACTGCCCAGGCTTTACATTAATCTCCAGCTTTAGAGATGTGGCCTTTCATATTTGTAAATATGAATCACTCGTGGCCTTTCCTCTGGGAAGAGTGTCTGGGATGTGCAACAAGCACAGGCAAACCTTCAGCCACCTTGGCACCACCAGACAAAACCCGTGGAGAAACACTGAGCAGAACTGGCAGCAGAGAGCAAACCATCGGGACATTGCCCGACTCTGCCTTTTGTCCTAAATTTATGTAGCCAAAATAATATTTCCAAGGTTGGTCATAGCTATGGAGCTGTCTGAACTTTCCAGTTACCATTTTTCCCCTCTTCCTGTTCCTGCATTTTGAGTCATTATTGTTAGGATGATTTATTTCCTTTTTACTGTAAACCAGGAGGTGCAAGAAACCCTGTTAGGAGAAAGGAAAGCAAAATGATTTTGTTGTTGGGGTTTTTTGTTTTCTTTGCCTTTTTTTTTTTTTTTTTTGTGGTTTTGTATTTTTGTCTGGGTTTGAGGGTTTTTTAGAGGGAAATAGAGCAACTCTGTAGTGAACCTTGCCAGTCAGACACGTGCTGATGCTTTGTGAGTGGAGGATATAACAAGGTCATCTGGCTTCACTGAAGGAACAGCAGATAAAGCTGCTGAAAAAACACAAAAACCATCTTGGATTTTGTGCACTCCATCTTTAATACGACACAAAATGAGTTCAGAGCCAGTCTGAAAGGTATAATGAAGTTTAATTAACCCGAGGCACGTTTCCACATCAGCTCACAGACGGTGGCTGCTTCATAACCGACCAAAGCTTCCTGTTCTGGAGGCGAGTAAACAACCATTTTGAATTTCAAATGTCAGCATTTCATCCCAGGGCTTGTTTTGCAGGCTCACATCAAGAGAATTAATTACCTGTTCAGCCAGCTCCAGCCAGTTCCAGGGCAGTCGGAGCTGGGCCGCGTGAGGGGACACGCTCGTGTCGCACCCAGGAGCCACCAACCCTCCTGTTTGTCATAATCCTCCTGGATTATGCTGTTCTTCCAACCCTGCTAACTCACTTCTGCTTTTCCTCTCAGCTTTATAGGCCAGGACCAGCCCTACAACCTGTCCTGGGCTTTTCCGTGGGAAAAAAGCCATTTTTTCCCTCCATCCTGGGGACAGGGCTGGTCAGAGGGGCATAAAACACTGGCACCAAGGGTCACCCCCCTTTTTTCAGGGTACTTCTCCCCCAAGTCTGTGCTAGGCTGTTCCCTGAGCACTGCTGGGATCCAGGCAGGAGCTAAAGAAGCCCCAGTATCGTTCCTATGAGCAGCATTAATCCCACTTCATAATCCCCCTTCCTGTCCCCTCATGGCCCCAGCTCCCCCCCCGGCCGAAATCTGCCCCGCTAGGCGTCTCCCCCTCAGCAACAGCGTGACCTCACCGCGGACCAATCAGCGCCGAGCAGCGCCGAACCTTCCAGAGCTTTCCCTGCCCCCGCCGCCCCCGCCCCTCGCCAACTGCCCCTGCCGAGCAGCCAATCAGCGCCCGCCCTGCGGCCCGCCCCACCAATCACCGCCAGACTTCCCGGTCTTCCCACCAACGCCTGGTCGCAGCGCCGCGGCGAAAAACGGTCCCAGATCCATCCGCACCCTCAGAAATTTGCCGATTTTGTAGGGTCTGATCCCCCTCGCTGAAACTCTGGGACCCCTTTGCCTGCGGAAGAGGGATTGGAGCGGGGAAAAGGCGAGTGCTCACCACAGCAGGGATCTTTTCCTGGGGACTACTTTGGGAGGCGGATGGACACGTTAGTTTTGGTGGGCGGGGCCTGCGTGGCCACAAGCACTATAAATAAGGGCGGGTGTGCGTCACTCGGCAGATCCGAGGTTTAACGCCGCTGGACACTTTACGCATTTTTTCGCTCAGGGCCGCAGACGTGAGTGCGCTGGGGGAATTGGGGGTGCGGGGAGGGGAAGGCGGGCCAGGTGCTCTGGGCAGCACCGGGCGGTGTGCAGCAGGGTAACGGAGGGAGCGGGCGGCGGAGCTGCGCAGCGTTGCGTGGCGCTCCGAACCGCGTCGGTGAGAGCTGGGCCGGCCGTGAGGGGGGGGCTCAGGCCAGGGCTGGCCCGGGGAGGAGGCCTCCTTGCGGGGAAGATGGCGCGGGCCGCGCGGTTGCTGCCGGAAGGCGGCTGTGAGTCACTACCGGGGCGGGGAGCGGCGGCGCTGCCGCAGGGCGGGTCCGCGGGGCGGGCCGGGCGCTCCCCCCGCTGCCGCACTGCGGGCGGCTCGGGGCCGCGCTGCCGCATCGCTGCCTCGGGCGGGCCACGAGGGTCCGGTGCTGCCCTGCCGGGAGTGAGGGGGATCTGGGGGCTCCGGTGCCGCATTGCGCTGCACTGCGGGCATAAAGGAGGGCTGGGCTGCAGGTCTTGTAATGGGAGTAATCTGTTTAAAGAACTCAAAAGACCTTGCCTCAAAACCAGATCTAGTTAGTCCCACTGGAAAATTACCTTTTAATTTCGCGTTTCTTGTAACCCAAGTAAAAAACTTTAATTGATGGGGAATAGCAACGGTAATCCCTTTGTTTTGGATTTACTGAAGGCTTTACTTGACTAAGCGGCTATAGCTGACGCACTTGCACGTCTTGCAGGTCAACATGCAGATCTTTGTGAAGACCCTGACTGGCAAGACCATCACTCTTGAGGTGGAGCCCAGTGACACCATTGAGAACGTGAAGGCCAAGATCCAGGATAAGGAAGGTATCCCTCCTGACCAGCAGAGGCTGATCTTTGCAGGGAAGCAGCTGGAAGACGGGCGCACCCTGTCCGACTACAACATCCAGAAAGAGTCAACCCTGCACCTTGTCCTGCGCCTCAGGGGTGGGATGCAGATCTTTGTGAAGACCCTGACTGGCAAGACCATCACCCTGGAAGTTGAACCCAGTGACACCATCGAGAACGTGAAGGCCAAGATCCAGGACAAGGAGGGCATTCCCCCAGACCAGCAGAGGCTGATTTTCGCTGGCAAGCAGCTGGAAGATGGGCGCACCCTGTCCGACTACAACATCCAGAAGGAATCCACCCTGCACCTGGTGCTGCGCCTCAGGGGTGGCTGTTAAGTTCTTGTGCATCTTGCTTGACCCCAGGGTTGCCAGTGGCACTTGTGTTTGCACTGTAGTTCTTCAATGTCTTAATGTTAAGTTAATGCAAGGTTAATGCAAGCTTGAGTAACTGCTGAACAAATGTTGAAATGCTAATAAAGTTTTCTGTTGCACATTACACCCTGTAGTCTGTGTCAGTTCAAGCAGGTGAAAAGTGTATTAAGTGAAATGCTTTGGCTTCTTACCATGGCAGTTTAAGCCTCTTTGCATGTGTAATGAGGACCAACCTTGTGGTTAAAATGGATCTGGATTAAAATCTTAATGAAGTGCTAATAATACCATGTTGTTTTTTGTTCCTAGATTTCAGTAGCACTCTGCTTCTGGGTGGGATAGAAAGACCCCACAAAATGGTGTGGTGGGTTTTGCTGCAAGTCACGGGCTTGGGGTGTGTTTGGGATGTCTGGGGTGGCTGTGAGGGGTGCCAGTGCCTGGCCCTGCTCTGAAGGGACTCTGGGGGTGGGGTGGTGTTTTGGGACATGGGACATGGTCTGGGGGAGGACTGAGCAGTGTAAGAGCTGCCTGGTTTGGGAAATTCTACAGAATCCACCAATGCCAAAAAGGGAGGGAGCTCCCACTAAAGTCTGGGTTAGGGTTTGTTTTTTATGGGGTGGGTTAAGGGAACTCACACGGGTTGGGTTGGTTCCACTGCAGTGGTGGCTGTCCAGAAGGGGATGCAATTCCCATCTGCCCTCCCCAAAAACACCCCTGGCTTGTGGGGTGTCTGTGGGTGTCCTCAGCTCTTGGGGTCTGGCGGCTGCTCACGTTGGGAGGGGGCACAGCCGTGCTGCTGCCCCTGTCCCCAACCCCTCCGGTGCCACCTCGGCCACTGTCATCCCTGCGGAGCTGCTGGGGAACTCGGGTTTGTTCCTGCTGGATTTCAGCACTGGGCGTCTGTGGTAAGTGCTGCACTTCGTGGGAAATACAACCAAAAAATTGCTGTTCTCACAGGAAACCCCACGCTGCAAGTTCAGTGTGGGTTTGAGGCTTACATCCATTACGAATTTTTTTTTTTTTTTAGGAGCAGGACTTGTTTTTCTGTCTGCTGAGCTTGCAGAAATACAAAGTTCTGTAAGTATTTGCTGTCTCTGCCACAAGAGACTCCCCTTAGTTTGAGTTTTCCTGCAATTGCTGTTTTGCTTTTGTGCTTTTTGCAGTTTGACCACCCGGCAGGGTGCCCAGAGGGGCTGTGCAGGCACTTCTGTGAGGCCATAAAGGAAATTATTTGGGGCAACCACCTTAGGGTGACCCCCAAATGTCCCTTCCAGCCCCAACCATTCCTGCCTCTCTCTGGGTTGGGTGTGTTCAGCCCTGCCTGAACTCCCTGAGCAGCTCACAGCCCCACTGAATAAATGGAATAAACATTAATAAACGGAATAAACACAAATAAAGTGATCTTCCTGCTGGGGTTTGGGGTGAGCACTGAATAAACTGACATTCTGTGGGAAATAGATTTGTAGGAAGTTTTTTAAATTTGATAGAAAGTTTGTATAATATGCAGCATCTGTATTGTCTCACCCTTCAAATGAGACTAAAAATAGGAGAAGAGTAAGTAAAAAAAGAGCTCAGTCCAACAACATTCCTGACATTTCTGCTGGGGTTTGGGGTAGGTATGGAATAAATTGACATTCCTCATCTCCCTGCTGGGGTTTGGGGAAGGTATGGAATAAATTGGCATTCCTCATCTCCCTGCTGGAGTTTGGGGAAGGTATGGAATAAATTGACATTCCTGATCTCCCTGCTGGGGTTTGGGGAAGGTATGGAATAAATTGACATTCCTGATCTCCCTGCTGGGGTTTGGGGTGCCCTGCAGGGACAGGGACCCCGGGCAGGTGACAGGAGGGCTCTGCACAGGTCCCTCTGCTCTGGTTTTTGGCCTGAGCCCAGCTGAACCGTGGCCTCCCCTGGTACCTGGGCTGCTCCAGGAAATGACTGCAAGGATTTCTTCATTAATAAGAGAAAAATCCTTGCAATTTAAGTAAATTAAGGAAACGTGTATGAATCACAAGGAAATGTGAATATGGATTTGTAGAACATGCAGTGTTTACACCGAAGTTATTAGCATAGAACAAAGGAAGCTGTCAGGCAACACAAATAATTGATGTTATTAAAATACACTTTTTTTTTACTCCTACAATATGGTGGTACCTCAAAAGCCTGCTTAAAGACAGCTATTCGTAACTAAAATAATAATTCAATCTGTTTTAGCCAGAATATCCATGCTATTAGAATAATCTTAAAGCTCCCATATTTACAAGAGATCTTGTAACATCTTTTAATCCTGCTGTAATCTGAGTTTTGTGACTGGCCTTTGAGTTTTCTTCCTATTGCTTCAGTTAATTTCTAGTCTGTTCTCCCTTTAAAAACATTAAAACCCCAAAAAGACAAGAAAGAAAAACCAGCCAAGATTTTGGGGTTTTGTCTTCTGTGCTTTAAAAAAATTACTTACACCTATAAAAAGAGAAATGAAATAACCCATTATACTGGGCTCGGGTACATTTGGGGTTTTCCCCTTTCTCAGCTGCCCCACAACATAATCCTATAGGATTAGGAATACTGGGAATAAATCCCTCAGTATTTCTGCAGCCTTGTCCACAGCAGCCAGGGGTGTTTTTTAAGGTTTTTGCCCAATTTGGCCGTTTCAAAAGCAGCAGGAATTCGGCCGCCTCGGTGGCCACGGGATGTCACTGTTCCTCCACAAACAGATCATTTTCCATCTGGATTTCCTCTTTGCTGCTCTCTGATTGTCAGCGGAGCATTCCTGCAGGCTGTGGTCCTGCAGGAAGGGATACATCACGTAGGAAATATTTCCATTTTAGGGCTGAGAGAGCTGGGTGCTTCCCTCCAAGGATATCGATTGCAGCCTGTAAATGTTACAAAGTGGGACTTGCAGTTCCAGAAACACTCCTGTGTAGATTGATTGGGTTCCCTGGGCTGTCAGACAAGTTCTGACGAGGGATTATATTTAAGAGTATTTATGTTTCAGGTTGGGCACTGGCTGAGGTACTGATTTCCATCTGTAACTAAGAAATGAAGCTGCTCAAATTCATCATTTCAGTGTGGCTTTTAGATAACACTTACAATAAAAAAAAAAAAAAAAAGGCCTTGCAAAAACACTTGATATATTCCTGAGTGTGAAAATACACCTTTAAAATAAATTATTTTTTCCTTTCCTGGCCTACCTGTTGTATTTGAGAGAATTTTAATTCTCCACCCTTGCATCTCATTATTGCAGGTTTTCCTCATTCTGTAAAGATGATTTTGAGCTGCTACACCTGAGTGGCCACAGATCAATCCTGTAGCTAAATTACAAGTGACTTTGAACATCTATTTACAGCATACTGAAAACATGGCATCAGCCACAGGACTATCATGTTTTTCAGTGTTTGGTAAAAATGGGAATTTAGGTGAACACAGAATATATATTTCAGGAAATGCTCTTGTTTGCATCTTTTCCAAACACCACCATCATCCTCACACTTCCTTTTGCATGTTCCAGTCATTGATTTTTCTGCTGTGAATTACTCATCAATAATTACAATATAGATATAGAATATATAATATAGTTTATATAATATACAACATATATAATAGATTAATATATTTGATCACTTTTATTATTAATGAATCAATTATAATATTATATAATTTGAACAAATAACACTTGATTTGAGATTTCACTTGGCAGTTTGACTTCTCCCTTGCCAGCTTTCCACAGGAGCAGCTCGGACACATTTCATGGGTAAAACAATCAATTGTGAGACTCCTCCACGTTCCTCCACACAAAAACCCCAAAAAGCAAGAGGGAAAGCCGGGCTGAGGGCAGGTGGAATTAAAGTGCTGCTTTTCTCCTGGCTGCCCTGGGTGAGCTCCCAGCTGGCAGCGATTCCTTTCCCAGCAAGCTGCACATTCCCCTGCTCCCTGCAGGATGCCAGCAGCAGATGTGCAGGGGGAGCTGTGTTTTGGTGCACTCCTGAGGGCTGATTTCATCCCTTGGCTGCAGGGCTGGGATGCCTCCCAGGACAGCTGCAGAAGGAGCCCAAAATGATTTAAATCTGTGAGTGTGAGTGAGTTCCTGAAGCTCTGCTGGCATCACAGTGAAGAAAGTGAAACACAGCTAAAGCAAACTGGATCAGTGCAAGGCTGGAATGAGGGAGGGCTTGGAGAGATCAGACCTGATCTTGCATTTATCTCTCCTTTTTAGGCTGTTCTGTGGGTCTTAATTAATCATTAAGAACCATCATGGATTGTAAAGCAGCTTTGTGTGGTCGCCGGACCTGCTTCATTTTAAAACACAGGATATCAACTTGAAAACTTGAAATCCCCTACAAAACCATGAGGAGGGAAAGGCCCTGTGCCATTTATTGGGGTACCTATAGGGAGAGGTGCCATTGATTGGTATTTATGGGGAGGGGGTGCCATTTATTGGTATTTATAGGAAGGGGGTGCCATTGATTGGTATTTATGGGGAGGGGGTGCCACTTATTGGGGTACCTATAGGGAGGGGGTGCCACTTATTGGTATTTATGGGGAGGGGTGCCATTGATTGGTATTTATAGGGAGGGGGTGCCATTTATTGGTACCTATAGGGAGGGGGTGCTATTGATTGGTATTTATGGGGAGGGGGTGCCATTGATTGCTGTGTTTATGGGGAGGGGGTCTCACAGCTGACTCAAAGCTGGCTGGGACAGTGTCTGTGGGTGACAGCCACGCTGCCAGGAGGTGTCCCAGCATCCTGGGGCCGAGGGCTGCTCCAGGCTCTGCTGTGCCTCGGGGCAGGTTTGGAAGGAGGAAGGCACAGCCAGAGCTCAGTGTGTCCTGCTGGGACAGCCCTGCTCCTGCTTTTGGGCCACCTCCCTTCTGGGATTCCTCCTGGAACGTGCGCCTGCTGGTGAGGTGTGGATGGGAAGGGCTCTTCACTGTTTTTTTTCATTCGTGACATTTCCCAGCTGGGCTCCGGGTGACATCAATGGCTTTGGGGAGCACCAGGAGCTCAGGTGAGAGCAGCATTCCTGGGGGATCTCAGCTGGGAGCAGCATTCCTGGGGGAGCTCAGGTGGGAGCAGCATTCCTGGGGGAGCTCAGGTGGGAGCAGCATTCCTGGGGGATCTCAGGTGGGAGC